CACATGTTTAAATAAAGGATTGATAAATAAAGGATTGATTGATGGCTAAACAAGGTCCATTGAGAGAGTTAGATCATAAAATTGAGTTCTTTATTGTAAGCTGCTTGACTTCCATGACAAATCATACAACTCAGTAGACCCTACCGAGGATTTTGACTCTGCCAATTTAGTATTTGAAAAAATATATAAAATGAGAATAATTTTTGAATAAATTTGGTACATCATATCCTATTGTATCCAGGTAGTGAACATCGGTCTAAATTAATAACCCCCCCTCTATTAAGCCCTTCCAAAGAACTTGAAATAAATAAGTCCCCCCCCTCCCCTCTCAGGGGTCTTATTGGAGGATTTATGGTATTACCAGCCTGCCCCCTGGATGAGATGCCAGTCCATTGTAGCACTTTATGAAATTTCCATGACAATTTACCATTAACCAATAATACTCCTGGGAGAGAGGCACTGGGAGAGAGGCACTGGGAGAGAGGCACTGTAAGAGTAAAGTGTCTTGCCCAAGAACATAACACAATGGTCCTGGCCAGGTTTCAAACCCAGACCCTTCAACCCGGCCAAGTCTCGAATCCAGAGTCCGTTGGGGTTGATAGGTTGATATCGCTTAATCAGTAATAAATCAATTCTGCATCACCTTTTGCTCGATGATCTGTTTATGTAGTTCCTTGAGATCCCTCATCATAGATAATGTCATACGAATCTGTAATAGAGAAAACACTCTAATAAATCTTACAATGAGTCTAATAAGAGGACCTGCAGACTGGGTGATCTCCCTACTCGAAACACAGCTAAGATATTGTTATTAACTGCACATGTTAGATTACCTTCACTTTTGGTTGGCAAAGCTGAGTATGATAGACAGCATAGAGAGCGTAAAGAGCTCCAATGCGACACTGAAAGCTACTTGGAGTCGATTCAAGGTAAGTGCTGATGATACGAAACAGATAATCCACAAGCTGTAACAAAATTAAACCATAATTTGTATAGTTTTGCGTTGAAATTTCGCATCATAACGATATTGTAAAACATTGTATTATATTATACCTGGATTCTTCGGTCATCATCTCTACCACCGCTGGAAAAAAAAAACGAAATCAGACATCGTTTACGCTCATAACTTCGCGACCTAAAATTCTGAGAATCTTTTTTTGAGACAGCTTGCGCATCGCAAAAATAACAACTCGCTTCTACTTGCAGATAAAAAAATCGTCATCAAGGAGAAAAAATTCTTACCAGTGAATTAAAGAGAAGTTCATTTCTCTCCATACTTCACAAAATTTTTCAAACCTTACAGTGTTTAGGTTCTCAAACCGCGACAATAACAAACGACAGTCTATTATCAAACCTTCCGCCATATTTTTTCTCTTCTTTAGCAAGCAACCGCTGCCAAGAAAAATCACGGCGCTTTCCGCAAATTGGGCACCAGGCGCGCTCCTGGATAATCCCCGAAAATCTTTAAAAGGGAGTTAACAGAGTTGACGGACTTGAGTCATACCATGAAGGGTTTGGCATATTCCACTGAGAACGTTACACAGCCGTGCTAGTCTCTTTATGGCTATGCGTGGCGGTTGAACGGTTATTCATTACCTCAGTCTCTAATTAAAAGCATATTCATAGGGCGGGAATGTCGATATTCACTAAGAGACCAAGAAGCAATAACCACGCCTAGATTCAACACTAGATTGTTAAAGGACTCTTTAGCATGATAGAGGTTCGGTGCTATGGAACTATGTTATCCATCATGTCAAAAATGTAGGTAGCTTCGCCCTTAAAAATCTCAGGAGGCTACTCAGGAGAAACAATCACTTCACAAGCTTTACTTTTACTAAATAATTTGGATATATCAACAAAGTTGAAATGGTAAATTAGCCACCGTAATGATTACAAAAGCTGACGTTTCGAGCGTTAGCCCTTCGTCGGAGCGAATAGAGGAATTGTGGGTTGTGTGTGCTTTTAAAGGCAGAAAATGGAGCTACGTTATTGGTGGGAGCATGGCAACGAGAAAAACATGAATAAATTAGTGGAATGAAAAGCGTTCGTTGATCCCTGTGGGATTTAGACTGCCGGTTTGAAAGATGAGCTTTTGTTCAAGATTTTTACGGCTTTCCGTGCCACCTAAGTGCAAGGAAAGACCGCAGATTGCCATATGTTGCTTAGAATGATTAGGTAAATTAAAATGTCTAGCGACTGGTTTCGATGTGTCCTTGTCATTCCTTTCCACGTCTCGAAGGTGTTCTCGGAATCGGTCACCTAGTCTTCTGCCTGTTTCGCCGATGTATATCTTTTTGCAATAAGTGCAAGTTATGCAATAGATTACATTGGCGGAGGTGCACGTGAAGTGATCGGTGATCTTAATGGATCGTTTAGGTCCCGATATTTTATCAGTGTTGTGAATGAAAGGACACGTTTTGCATCGTGCACGAGCGCATTTAAAAGTGCCTGGTTGGTCATTAGTCTGAAAAGAACTTCTGACCAAAAAATTGCCTATGTTTTTGTCGCGTTTGAATGAAATGAGCGGAGGCTGCGAAAAGATAGTGCTTGTCTCTGGATCGTTTTGAAGTAATTTAAAGTTTTTAAGAATGATGGATTTAACTGAGTGGTTGTGAGGGTGAAACGTGAGAGTGAATGGAATGCGGTCGGAATCTTCCTTATGCGACGTTTGTAGTGCTGAATGTCGATCAATAAGNAAGGGATAGAATCCGACAAACCGTGATTGTTTTTCTTCTCCTACAGTTTGTAAGCTTTTGTAGTCTGAAGTTATTTTTCAGCTCTCTTGAGAATATCTTGAAGTAAATTTTGAATTGATGAGAATTTTTATCTCCCAAGTGATTGTGACAGTGATTGTTTACAGCTAGCTTAAATAGGGTCGGAGCTTGCCGCACTTGACGAATATTATAATTATTTTCTAAAACTACAACTAATACCAAACAGCTATGTGTCCCGAGAATGTTAAATTTTTGAAACGAATTCGGTTTCAAAAACGTTGTTTAACATCAGTATATTGAGCTGTATTACTACTCGGAACTGCGAAAGATTAAACAAACTTATATATTAAACCAGACTATAATATAATTAAGCGATTTAAGATGAAAAAAATCATCAAATTCATTGATTTATAGAAAAAAAAATTAAATAAAGGAAAGAGAAAAGAAACTTGTGGTCTTCGGGAAACACTAGACTCGAGAAGGTGATTAATTTAGAATTTTTTTACTCCATGCTTAACCAGCCACTGAAAAAAGACTTTCCAAATATAGAAGGACCACAGCGGTACAAATTATCTTTTCTTTAATCAGTTCTAATAGGATTAATATGATATGTCTATTTTGATGCTGGTCTTGTGAAATTCAACGTCAAAAGATAAAAAAAAAAAAGAACCTTGTTGTTCTTTCAACTGATGACAGTCATTCTTTTTTAATTAATTTATCACGGTCACTTACTATCGGAACGTCAAATTTTCATTTCATCTGATACCTTTTGAGACTGTTGCTTCTGTTGACCAATATCTATAATTTATATTGACTTTTTAACTGCATCCGAAAAATACTGTATAAAAATGACTGCCAAAGTATAAATATCACTTGATTTATCGAGCATAAGGTACAGAGTTCACTCTATTTAGAACACTTTATTTCGAGATCGACCTCATAAAAAATTTACAGTTCTTCGATGATTAGTCGGAATCCAAAAGTGATGATGTGAATATAGCACATTTGATTGGGATGGTAAATTGCGTCACAAAATGTACGGAAAGTGATATTCATTCCAGCAATTCACAGCGGATTGGAAACGCATTCTTGAGGTGACACGAGCGCATTGAAGTGGCACAAAGTTGGATAGAGCTGACAAATTGTGAATTACGACCTCACGGCCGAGGACTGAAGACTTATCAGAAAGGTTTCCTCCCGTTCAAACAAAGAGCACTGCGTATTCAAGCCTTTAACCAGCGGGGAGAAGCAACAAGTTTGGAAATGGAGGTCAGTTTTTTTTCGTAAACAGAGACAAGTGTTTTCATGCCATTAGGCGACCGCGCTGGCGATCAAATTATCGACTGCGATACTCACTTACATAAGCATCGATGCCTTGCTCTTTATTCAACTCTACTAAAACATAATGTTATTACTATCTTCTGATCAAATCTCAGAACTCGTGCTAGTCTTTTGAAACACAACCAAGAAACTTTCGTTTCAGATCAAACTGCGATGCAGAAATTACAAATCAAAATGGCTGCTCTAAAAATCGTCTATTGCTCGTTAGGCTTGTCAATAGAAAATGTTGAAAGGAAATGTTTAGCACTTACGAGCGATAAAGTATCAGGAAATGAAAAACCGCAGATCGATATTTCAGAAATAATTTGCCAGAAATTATTTCTACGATAAGAGGAACATTTGAGAAAGCTAATTTTTTTCTTATTATATTTTTTCTTTCCATAAAATTACATTGCTTCGGGGAAAAATCGAGAAGTCATGGCAATCAAATGATAGAACCGCAGATATTTCAATTGTTTTTAGCGTTGTCAAACACTGTTCAGGCCAGTTCACGATTGAATATGCCTCAGCGGAATAAGGAAATTAACATGTCATCGTCATTATCAAACTTGATTATTAATACATACTGACAGGAGGTAAGAAACGTGCGTGACAAACATACCGTGCGTGACAAAAAAATATATATATCTGTACACAAAGAAAAGAAAAAACACTGCTATCAGAAAAAGCACTGCAGCCCAGGAAAAATAAAGCCGCTTTGTAACGCATATCGTACTCAGCAGTATGTGGTATTCTGAAACAGGCACCCTGCTGTTACTCATGATTCTTGAATGGGCAACATGAGGGCTCTAAACACACCCCCCCCCTTTCCTAATGAGAAATGAAACGAAAATTTGATTATTAGAAATAAAAAAGTTTAAAAAAAAGCATGAAAAGAAAAAGAGAGCCGAATATTCAAAAAATGAGGAAATGAACGAACAAGCGAATGAAGGAATTGCTATTAAAATGATGACGACACGGACGACTGCTCTGTAGATTGGATCGCATCGTTAGAAGCTAAAGCTTCTGTGAAAGTGATTTAAAACGTTAACGACGGTCAAAAGATGTTTTGTTTAAAGGTTGGACTTCGATCTGTTCACAAAGTCAGGCGGAATTCGTCGAAGACTTTTAACCTCAACTATCGTTTATTTTCTGACGCGAAAACATTTATTGATTTGAATGAAGAGTGATGAACTGGGTGGCGTAAACATTTTAACAAATTTGACAAGCACTTCTCTTTTCTAAAAGAAGCTCTGTTCTGGTTTCAGTTCGAGCGGAAGCGAAGCTATATTGTTACAAAAAAATTGCCTTCTTTGGATGAAGTTAATCATGCGAAAATAAGTTTTGTCAACATCCAGCCAAACTAACTTATACTTTCGAAATAAAGGCTTAGGCCCGGTTCAGACGCCGATCTTTTCATGAGCCGAACCTAATTCCCTGAATTAAGTACATGAAAAGATCGGCGTCTGAATCAATTTGGGACGGCTATTTCAATTTGGAACGGCTCACCCGTTCTTCCCGCCTGACTTGGCCGAGAATTTCATCTTTAGAACGCCTTTGGAACGGCATTAATTCAGACGCCGTACTTTTCATGTGCCGATGCTAATGCATAAATTGTTATAATGTATTTTTCGAGCAGGTTGACTGGTTTTACTGGAACTGAATTTGGAACTGCCAAAAAGAACGGCGTCTGAATCAGCAGGCGTACTTTTGTTAATTTGGGTCGGTCCAAATTCGAATTGAGTTCGGCTCATGAAAAGGTCGAGGTCTGAACCGGGCCTTAGTTTATTCGAGAATCATAGAACAATGGGATTTCGTGCGAAACTACAACGAATTTTGTACAGGAACATATGAACTTATGTTCCTGGTTTATCCAGTTCGGATTATTGTTACTAAGTTGGGATGGTTTTGCTTGATCTTGGTTTCAGACCCCTAAACAGTTTCTAAGTTGACTGTTGGTAACAGTTACCCTTTTGCTATGTTGCAGAAAAAACCTCGAGTTGATAATGAAATGCGTTGGTGTACACCATTACAGTGGTCTCCGGTTTTATTTTTGATGCATTAATATAGTATTATGATCGTTGACGGAGAACTTTCACAAATTTACGGTATAAACGTTGAAATTTTTCCAACAGAAAGTGAAGTGATGGGGACGATACAAAATCAATGTACTAAGTATAATCAAAAGCTTTTGCATAAGATCCAAAGTGCTGGTTGTAATTCCCTGCTATCGACTGATGATCGAATTTTTTTAGTTCTTTTTTCCCTTTTTAAAAGCTTGTTTTAGTGTGTGAGGTTTAAACTTTTTTTTTATAAAATAATCATCTACGAATTTTGCTCATTTTGACGAAAGAACTCTGCCCATTTGGTTATTTATAAATGTTAACCTTTTTAATGTTGTCCCCGATACTTTAAATGATGTGACACATGTAGACTGAATTCCCTTTTGGTTTTTTTCTACACAAATAAGGAACCGATCGGCTCCCGTGATCGGGTAGAATGGAATTGCGTGGATAAATTTGTTGACTGCTAGATGATGTCACTTACCATGCCAAACTAATAGAACGCACGTCAATAAATCAAACTACGTATTAAAAGATTAAGACAAAGAAAGTTTGAAAGAAGGATCACGGAAACTCGTGTCTTATCTGAATAGTGGAATGATCGATCATTCTCGTTCAAAATTCTCTCAGATTTATGCGATTTATTTATAACGGTTTAACTTATAGCGTAGAAAAATCTCGAAAACACTCTCTTTAGATGTCAGTTCTTTAATGATTTTTTTTCATGTGAGTTTTAAATATCTCTTAGTGACTCATGCAAACGAAAGCTATTTCGCCGAATGACATCATGTCATTATAACTTCCACACCTCCCTACTAAGTCGCACGTGACCAAAATCAAATCGCGCACAAAATGGCGCTCCTTGATTGGCGGTTTGAGTCACATGGGAGACCGTAACCACAAAATCAACTCAAATTTATTCATAGTTTCATAACAGAATGATTCGAACTGGTAGCTTTGTCGCCGAGGAATGATTCTTTCGTTGTGTTGCAATATTCCGGTATCCGGCGAAGGATTTGGATTGAATTTAGAGCCGAAAACATGAAAGTTACGGTGTGTTTTGATGCTGTGCGTGTCATCGTTCCGTGTGGGAATGGCGAACTAACTGTATCTGAGCTTATTGAACGAGCGGTTTCAAGGTATCGCAAAGCTACAAACAAGGAAAGTATACGGTCTGTTTATAAAGTGTCTCTCGACAGTTAAGCACTGCCATTGCTTAAAGCCCGTTCTCAATTGTTGGCAACGTTCTCGACTCCTGTTAACTTTCGATAGACACCGAGTCACGATTATTACTCAGTAATTCGGATGTGAAATTTGCCTTAGGGTCCATTAAAATCTCATTTTCGAGTACCATAGCGCTGTGCGTTTTGTTGTTTCTTTAGATTTGAATTATCTTCAAACTGAACTTTCTTTGATTGTTCACGGTCATGTTTTATTTTGGGTCAAGCTTGGTCGTACTCTCTCGAATGACTCGTACACGTTCGATTTCCGGCGCACGGTCTATGTAGCGTTCGATTAAAAATCTACCAAATTTAGCTAAGCTGTTGGTTTAGAGGTTTGTGTCGAACCAGCAAATATGAATTAATTGCCTCAGGTCGGTTTCTAAATATTAGATTTTCATAGTTCGGTGGCAACATCTAATAAACTATAGATTCCAGTGAAAATCTTGAAACATTCTTGACTTATCGTTTCGCTGGAAAATCTCGTCGACCCAAGGGTTCCACATTGGTGTTTGCAGCATATTATATCAATTTAATATATATATCTACGCATATAGGAAGCCCACAGTTGATACATTCCGGTGTTATTTCTTGCAAACCTATCAATAAGTGCTTCCTAATTTATCTCCAATTTTTTGCCTTCCTCTATTCTAAGTGTTGGTTGCGCATACATCTTTTGTGTCCGGCTTTGGTCAGTTAAGTTGAAATCATACAGTGAATCAAATCAGCTACAATACAATTTACAACACGACACTGGTTTTCTTAAGGGTATGATTAATGTTCAAGGTTATGTTGACTAGATTTTCAGCGATAAAATTGCTGTCATGCGGGAGCATTTGTTCTAGTGGGATCTTTTCAATCAAATGTTCTTTATTATTTGTAGCCAACAGACGAGCACGTACAAGTGCATTTTCTTGAGACCAGTGATGATCGAGCTATTCTCGATCCTGACGATGTACTCAGTGATGTGGTCGACGACAAAGATAAGGTATTGCTATCTTTTACTTCTCCTGTTTCATGTCTATCGTAATGTTTTTCTAACTTATTACTCGCTTAGATTAAATTCAAAATTCCCTATTAATAAATTCCGATTGCGTCCTGTGTTATTGAAATTACTACGTTGAAATGAACACTTTATTTGATAGCGTGACACGTTCTACAACACAATAAGCAGATTTTTTCCTAATCAAGGACAAGGATTGTTGTTTCTGTCCTGTTCAATTCCACATCGGAAGTTATTCTGTTGAGGTAATTTAGGAAATTTCAAATCAGTGCCGTAAGAAGATCAGTTTTTCTGTTTGTTTAGTGAATTTCAAATATGAAAACCTCCTGTAGAGCCGTGTGAATTTTTTTTTCTCTTTCCCAGACAATTTATTCATGAAGCATTGCAACAAATTTCGTCTGACAATACAATGTCCTTTGTTCAGGGCAGATTTGCTTGTGGTTTTAACTTTGCTTCCTTCTTTAATGAATTGATCCCGGTAATTTGTCCCTCATTAAGAATTGTAAATTTTGCTTGTCATTACAAGTTAAATTTGTACATGTGCATTGTATTTTGTGAGAAAAGTCCGTGATTTTGAGAAAAAATGTCATGCAAATTTCAACATATATGTTCTTTGTTGATAACATAAACCTCATCTGCATTTATCAGTTTCAATATTTTATTATTTATCACCTTGGTCAGGACACAATCACATTCCAAGGTTTTCATATTTAAATTGTTTATTCAGAATGATGCAACTTGCATTGTACAATGGAAACTAAGGTGGGCCTCGAATATTGCAATGTTTTAAAAGTACTGATTACTTAAGCAGCTTCTGGGGGACTAACTTACAGAGTTAGGCTTATAACAAAGAAAACTGAACAGACTGTTCCTGTGACACTCAAGGGTGTCGTGTCTGCCCTTTAAGAGTTTCCTGCCTGTTTTTTAGACATGATAATTGATTCAGGTATTCAATTAGAGGGTACTTGTTATTTTAATGTTGACCCATGAAACTGAGACCTTAAATTGACCACTTCTTCTTTCAAAATAAGGTTTGATGCAACAAGATTTGTTGTTGTTGTTAAAGAGAAGTTTCAAATTTGATTATGACTGATTTTTTTTGTATCAAGGTCACTTGTTAAATATGGCTTCTGTGAACAAAGGTTTTGTTCTCAGAGGAGTCTTTATCAGTATTAAGTAAATATATGACCAAGTTTTCTTAAACACCTCTTGAATTGGGAAGGGATAGAAATTCAAGAGCTTGGTCAGGACGGCATTACAAGGTAGCCATCCAGGTGCCATTATATTTTACACGCATTGTGTCATAATTTTGACAAGGTTTTTTTATTTTTTGTGAGAGAATTACTGACAAATTATTGTATCCAAAGCTTGCTGATGGTATTATTTACATGATTATTGTTGCTGGTGTTGTTTTTCTTTTCTGTGGATTTCAATATACAAAGTGGTCCTAAATGCTATTATGCCGTAATCCTTGAGTACCTTGATCAAAGTCCATCGCTAGCTTCTTTGTTTTCCATGTGCAGAGTATGCTTAAATGACACTTCTACTTCTAATAATGGCAAATATAGGTTACTGATTCTACATGTAAATGGGTCTCTAACTTTTGTTTAAGTTTCCAGAATAGTGCATTGTGCACATGTTTAACAATTCCAACCGTTTGCAAGTGTCAAGGTTACAATTTGGACAAATACATTTTCCTATCCAGTGCAAACTAATGATATCTCCAAGACTATCTTAAATCTGTAAGTGTGCCTGTGTAAGGTATTTCTTGGATCATATTAAGTGCCTGTTGTTTACCTTTAACAGTTAATTGTTTCAGAAAATGTGAGATAGGGGCAAGCTCCTGCATTTTTGCTTGCACCCTTGTGGCTAGCTACAGTGTGTCAAGGACTTTCCCCAATTGAGCACTTAATGTAGTCTGTTAAATGTGGATGTGTTGCTGTATGCAAATAGTTGAGTTGAAAAATAATTAACTTGGGCACTTCTGGCTTCTCATAGCAATTCATTGATTGGGTGGAAGAATTACACCACCTAAATTCTTGTGAAGAGTTGTTGACCAGAGGTTTTGATTCAACCTCACAGAAAAGTAATATAATTTGTTATGATTCCTTTGGACTGCTAATGAATTAATCTGAGAAGAAATACTGACTCTGATGATCAACCACTTGCTTGTCTCTCAAAACCTGAGACAGATCAGCAATACTCCTAGTAATATAATGATACTAAATGATGTTACAATTGGAGTAAGGAATAGTGAGCTTTGAAAAGTCATCATTCTTTGAGCCTGGAGGTGATTTACTTGTAGAACAGAAAACAAGTCCATTAGGGGAAAGCACAACAGTGTCTTTGTACAGCTTTACTATACAGACTTAGTCTAGTCTCTAGAATTTGATGTGATTTTCCAGTTAAGTGGCCCTGTATGAAAATGTGAGGAAGTCTGATTGAAATACTGATTTCTTCTAGAATGATGTCTGTATAGCTTCTTGGTTTGGGTATGGTGGCGATTTTAAAGCTTTTACAAAAGATGAAGTATTTTTGCCTAGATTTTCCTTTTACATACATTTAAACAAGTGGCACACTGGAAATCAATGTAAAACAACATGACTTGTGTGTTATTGTTTCATCATGATTATATTTGAATTTATAGATCAAGCTGGTTTTTTTCCTTTACTTCTTTAGCTGTTGCTGAACTTTGATCAAGGGGCTCTGACTTAAATCAGATTAAGGAAAGGCTCCTTGATCATTTAATATAATTTTGTTATTTTTGGGACCCATGCTGTGTTGTTTTATGAGTCATTCATGACAAAGTGCAAACAAAAAAATTACAGGTGATGAGAAATGGGTGTGATTGTTTTAAGATACATAATTATGGGAATAACAGATGAAAGTTGAAATAGCCTTGATGTGCATGTGTCGAAGGCTGAAATTGTGTATCATGCGAGTTTTGATTGGGAAATGTTTTATTGGAGAGGTCTACATGTTTGTGGAACTTATTGGTGTATCTAAGATAATGTTGCTTGGATGGATCAAGTGATTTGATCCAATGTTTTTGTGGTTGTTAGTCAAGAATAATTTGTAAGTGGACAACATTCTTGACTTCTATGTTAGTACATCCTTGTGTTAGGTGTTGTAGAGCTTTCAATGGCAGTAGAAATGGAAATTCTTACCAGTTTTATTCAATAAAAAATGACCCAAACATTTACCGGACAACTCCAGTGGAAGACATTGATTGCTTCATTTCTGAAATATTTGTAATTTATTTCTTGACAGTTAAGTCAAATCGTCATTTAGTCATTTGTAAACTATTCCAAGAGTGTTTATCCTTAATATCTCCGTGAGATTGTAATGCAAAATATTGTTGATAGAAGCCCTGGAGTTCTTTTGCTTGGCAAGTACTTATTGGATGAAAACATTACAAAGATGTCACTTTATTCCATATTGTTTTAATTGTAAAATACACAACTTGTGAAGTAAAGTAAAATAAAAATTAGTCCTAAAACTGCCTTATATGGTTTTGTAGAATGGGCTTTTGAGAAACCTTTTAAAGTTTTATGTTTTAACTTTCTGTTTACATTTCTGATGTCAAAACAATTTCACATTCTCAAAATTGTCATATAGTATTTTGCAATATGGATACTTTTCTTCCTAAAATTAATTTTAAAACTGGAATATGAGGAACTTAACCAAACCTGTATTTTAATGTCAAGGAGTTTAGCATGGGTGGACTTCTTGGGGACACTAAAGTACATCTTTTAAAATCTTTTTATACTCAAGTACTATAAAATGAACATATGCATTATGATAAACTCTCTCAAAAAGCTTACAGCAATTGTTATTGATGAAATAGTCTTGTAGGTTTTAATAGTTTTCTTTCTTTTTTATTAAAAATAGACAGAGGGGGCAAATATCTTTGATCTTTACTCGTTTTTACCGTATGTCGAGTGGTCCTGCATTTTTGGTGGTTTGTTTGCCATTCCACAATTAAATTAAAAAGTGGTATAGCAGATTGCTGTTTCAAAGCAAGAATATTTTGATTTTAGCTGATAGATTGTACGTTTGTTAACGGGACCACAGTGATAAATAACCTAACACAGCTGTAAGAAACACAAGACAATTGATGATAAAATATTAATTTTGGTGCAGTTTAACCCGCAGTTTTTATTGCAAATACAATGCCCATTGAAATAAACAGTGATTATTCCACAATGGAGAAAACAATCAGCTAGTTCACACACATACTAATTAGGAAGATGTGTCTTCTGTTAGACAGGTCTAGTTCATCTATTAAGACTAGTTTGGTTTGACTAGTCTGTGTCTGGTCATTGACTAGTCTTAGACTAGTTTTTTGCGTGCATATATTTTGGTCCCTTTAGCTGCACCGTACGTAGCTGGTTGCTGTACAGAAGCTCCTGTTTAAGTGTTCTAAACAAGAGTTCACTTTATCTTGTAAAATCTTGCTCATTTGTTTACTGAACACCTTAAAAATACATTATGCTGTGCCTTATCTGAGTGACTACTGTAACATTTTACCCATATTATACAATACTTTGATTTGTTTCCTAGTTACTCGCTGTTTTTCAAGAGGGTTCTTCTCAACTTCTTCATCGGCCAGCCCTGAATGGTGGCTATGGAACTAGTGCATCATCTGTAGGAACAGCAAGTCCTGACTTGTCCCAGCATGAGGATGAACCTCAGAAATACATAGAAGAACAACCCTTAAAACAATTCACATCAATCAAACCAAATACAAATGGTGAAATAAAGACTGCGCCAAGGGCAGTGAAAAGCCCTCCACCTCCTGTGCCACCTAAACCAGTTAGAAACAACACCAAGAATAGTAGTAGGACTTCTTATATTGAATCTGTCCCTTCGGAAGATTCTGGGATATCCTCCCATGATGACAGGTTTCGAATAAGTTCTGACTCTTCAAAGTCTGAAACAATTGAGAATGTAGTTGTCAAACCTACAATTTACAAGACAGGTGAAATGACCTTTGTTGCGGTAGGGATGCCTGTTAAGCAAGCAGTTTATAATGGTCAAAATGGTCATGCAAACCATGACAGAAGACGTTTCTCATCAACGAGTTCTGACCACGCTGATAATGAGCACAGTGACATGGAGGAAGAAACATTTTCATTGGGTCGTAATTCAGCACGAAGATCTATGTTTGTAGACAGCCCCATGTTGGACAGATGGGCAGAGCTACAGGAGGAGAGAATGTTTGTGGTGAGAGAGACCTTGTGCCTTAAAGACTAGCATTTCATCTTGTGATGCAGGTTCATTTTTGGTTGTGATTTTCCTTCGTCTGGAACTTGTTTTTGCCAATTACTGTTCCAAAAAGCAAGGGAAAATAAGAGTTGAGCCAAGAGTGAAGTGCCTTACAACATACATGTCTGTGTTTTCTATTGCAGAGTTAGTGATTGAAGTAGTAGCACAATTAAGTAGGTGGGTGATTCATTTTGTCTTGGAAGTGGTGGAGGAGCACAACTTGGGATCCAATGGCAAGGCTTGACACTAACAGTAGCCTACTAGACACAGACCAGTAGAAATTCAGTTTTGGCCAGTGGTTTTCAATTTCCACATGACAGTTTGGCCAGAAAACAAACCGAAATTGTTGTAACATCTAATATGTCACTAGCCACTTAGCTTTAAGTAAGTTGAAAAGTTAGTGTCAAGCTCTGAATTAGCCTTAGTGGGAATAATTGTCTTTTGTACCAGCAAACTGTTTGGGAAACCTGACAGAATGGAGGGGTAGAACATATAATTTCAAAGAGGAGTAGCAGTAATTAACAACTATTCACTGAAGTGGATCGCCAACTGTGGCAAGGAAAATACCCACTGTTAGCTACGGACACTGACTGTAGTAAAAAGTTGTTTTTAGTGTGATACTAAAACAGTGGGACAAAGTAGCTCAAAAAGATGATTGAACTCGTATATTCCTGCAGCGATTACAGTATTTTCAGACACAAATCGGCGTGAGTTGCTCAGAGGTGAATAACGAAGAATATTCAGAGTTTGAGTAACTAATGAGCTAATCAGAGCATGTCCTTGATGCTATCCACTGTTTTAGTATATAGTAATATTCCTTGTCTCTCCATACTCCAGAAATTTGAATAGCCTTTGGCAACTACACAATACAGTCTTCTCAGCAGACTTTACCCAATAAGTATATTTTTTAATGGATGTGATATCATTGTGATTAATGCATAATATGTGCGTTTTCTCTGAATGCTATAACCTCTTCTACGTTGATGGTAATTGTAAGAATCACCAATTTTGTAGAATAATCCCAACCGAAGTGAGCCAGTGAGTACAGTAACATCTCCATCAGAACCAAGCTCCATCGAACCAGACTTTGCTCTGAAGTATGATGACGACCAGCAATCTCAAACCTCCCAGAGTAGTGGGTATGTTGATGTCGTTTACTTTTGCCTATTGCAACTCATTGTATTGAGCCACTTCCTGGTTCAAAAATATACTTTACTCTACCAGTGTAGTGACAATGACATTTATTTGCAAGTTAGAGATTAAAAAAGCTTATTTCCATAAAAATATTTGTACTTTCCTTGGATTTAGTGAATAAGGGGTCTGGAATGTCAGATGGGGCTTTCCTTCGATTTTTTAACTGTGGGCTCTGATTTTAAACGTATGTGTTTCACACCAAAAAGACATGAAGTACTAATGATTTGAAATCATAGCTGTTTCAGTGGAATTTATTGCTGTACTTTTGAACCCATTACAGGGACTGGTGATACTTACATATAGGGCATATTCAACGGAAAAGCTATATTTCCATTCATTTTGAATTGTTAAATGATATATTGAAATAAACAGGAACACAAACTTAATTAAGCAAGTTTAGTTAGTTACCTTTAATAACCCGTTTTCCACTTTAATTATATATTGTAGGGAACCTGATATGCTTATGATTGAGTTGAGTCGAGCAGATCCAACGGAACCCTTAGGGTTTACGGTGACGGGATACAGAACAGCAGACAGCAGGTAAATTTATTACGAATCTGCTTTCATGTACACAATAACTGGAAAGGGTGTTTGTACAGTGAGAGAGCCTCAAATAACCCCAGGCAGACAACTGTATTCTGTTGTCATCTTTTTTTTATGACACACAAGGTGAAGTTGATGTTTTATCAAACGTCCGTTGAGGGTTTATTTCGCGTATACACATGGTTTCAATTTCTCATTGACAGGGAACTTGGGCTTATCGTTCGAGACATTTCACCCAGTGGATGTGCTGCAAGAGATGGAAGACTTGAAGTAAGTAAATATTCGTTACTTTCATCAAATCTATGCCACGTATATTTTCTGTAATGGGTAAGCTTCCTTTTTAAATGAAAAAATTGCTGAAAAGAACTTATGTCTCCACAGATAGCAGACAGAATTGTTGAGGTGAATGGCTGGAGTCTAATGGACATGCCAAATGAAAGGTAACTAAAGCAAGAGATACTTTGTGTGAAAGCTGTAGGGGGATTAATGCACCCTGACCGAGGCTAAATGCATAACAATTGTAAGGTGAAATAAATTTTGTAGCGCAATACAAGGATGACATGGGTGGTTCCCAAGTCGATGTCGAGTTTTTGTTCAAGGGAAGTGGGAACGAGGCGGGAAGTGGCGTGGCCTGTTACAAACATGACGTTTAGAAATGTAGAGAATATCGAGATAAAAAATCTTGTTGGTTTTGCAATTTTAACTTTATTAGAGTTAGGTTTAAGCGTTCGGTAGATAACCGACATTTTTCTTTTTCATTTTAGAGCAGAAGAACTTTTTGCAGAAGCAATAAAAGCATCAGTTGTTAATCTCGGAGTGTCTCGAACGCATTCATTCGTCCCAGGACAGAAAAGTGACACACCAAACGATGATGAAGTCATACACGCACAACCTATAGAAGAAAATGACGAATCACAACAGCAACAACAACAAGATCAGACACCGAGAGAAATACTTCCTCTTACACCTCGTTCAATGATCAATTCACCTTCGATTCCCGACAACAGCTTCAAGAAAGTGAATAAAAGCATCCTTATCGAACTCATGAAAGGTATTTCTTTTAATATCTTGACGCAAAGGTTGGATACGTTTCTGTTTAAAAGCGTGACAAACTGTTACTTTCTTACATGTACATGACTATTTTCAGAATCGTAACGTAGACCAATGTAGGACACGCCCACACCTGTTAATGAGTGCAGTGAACTCTGGAACAGAATTTTCGATTCCTTGCTTGCTCCGCGACAAGCATAATTTTTTTATTATTGTTATTTTTTTTTAGCGAAAAACGCTTACGTTGGTTAGCGCGAGGGAAGTGCTAAGGAGGAGTGACTTTTCTGGCTCCTTCAGAAGCCGGAGTCACCTCCCTGGCGCCTGCTTCCTCATTCCTGAAAAACGCAAAAAACCGACGTATGTTCTGCTGGCTGTCCTATTTGGATCATTTTTATCTTTTTTTGGGGAGCAGGATGATTCATAAACTCCCCTAGTGCCCATCTATACACAGAAATATAAATACTAGCAAATTATCGGGAGAACGAGTCAAAATGCCGGGAGTAACTTGCAATATACTGTTACTTTGTCCAGAAGGACAGTCGCTATGCAAACCAGTTGGTGTGCAAACTTGAGCCCAAAAACTTCTTGACGTAAATAATTTTTTGTCAGGCATTGATGGTCTTGGATTCAGCATCACAACACGCGATAATCCAGCCGGAGGGAACACTCCAATATTCGTGAAGAGCATCCTCCCAAAAGGTGCAGCTATCGAGGACGGACAGCTGAGGGCCGGGGATCAAATTGTGGAAGTAAGTACATCGGTTTCGAAAACCCGCGTCACCCTTCAACACAGTCAGGTGTACCGCTGAAATTAGTTGCGACCTGTCCATCCTCGTTTTCCCGCGCTGTAAGTTTCTTTGAGCTGTGACTGGCTCCTTATAAAATTTTTCTTTTTTCTGATTGGCTCCGGTAATTACTTTGGCTTTGGTTTCATGAATCTTAATCAGAAGGCGAAAGAGAATAGAACAGAAATCAGTGTTGACCGAAACATATGTTTATGTTGTTTGTATTTTTTTATAGGTAAATGGACAGAAAATGTTCGGCAAAAGCCAAGCGGAGGCCGTGAACGTTTTACGAAGCACCAAGGGTCTGGTGAAGATTTTGGTTCAACGGGAGGAAACTGTCCAGTCCCCCAGGGCTCCTGCGATAGAGGTGAGCACAAAGGAACTCCAGTGATAATTTACTCCTCACAAACAACTTTTCATCAGGAGCAATCACTAAAATTCCTCTTCGTGAAAAGTCCTATTTGGTGTCACTCTGGTTTTCTTGTCAAAGATGTTTTCTCTTAGTGTTTTCACTTCCTCCTAGCGTTAAGTGCATGAGTTTTTAAACCTTTTGTTTTGCTCTTGTCACCTTAAGGTAAATGAAGACAGCATGAGTCATTTGAAAGAGGAAGGCCTTCAAGTTCTAACGTTCAAAATTGCTCTGGACGTATCTGGCGCGGCAGGCCTGGGTGTGAGTGTTAAAGGCAAATCACGTGGTACAGCTGAAGAAGGTCGAGACAGTCCTCAGGACAAGGGCATCTTTGTTAAGTCCATCATTCCTGGCGGTGCTGCAGCAAAAGATGGCCGCCTTTGTCCCAACGATCAACTTCTCCGTGTGAATGGTAAATCGTTAGTCGGGTTAACAAACCAGTCCGCTATGGATACACTAAGAATCGCTATGCAGTCCACAAGACCAAATCAAGCCTTTATTGACGTGACTATTGCGCGCGAACAAGAAGAGGCTCCACCACCCCCTGGGGAGTTACTGCACAGTAGGTCCCTTGAGAGGCTCAATGCGCCTGATCAAGAGAGGCCCATCGAGGCAAGCTCCGAAGAAAGACTTATCGAAGGACCACAATCTGGCAATTCCGAAACGGACGGTGGTTCTCTCAAGAAGGAAGGTAAGTGCAGCTTTCTGTTGTTTTCATTGCCTCCTAGTCGCGGTTAAGTCTTTAAAGGTAGTAGCGGTAAAGATTTTAATTAATAATCGCATTATAATCTCTATTTTTCTTCATCAAACATAGGACTCCCAAGTGGACAAGAAGACCAATTTAATGAATCAATGGTCAGTAGAAATCTGAGCCCGATCCGAGCGAGAAATGCGGTGCATCGAAATGACTCGTACTGTGTGGCTATCAACAAGAGCCAAATACCTGGTTCTCCATTTTATAGCCCCTTCAGACAACGCCCCGTCCATCGCCCCAGTCCTTTAGCAATGATAAATGATCGTGCGCCACCCCTTGCTCCCAGTTCCCCGACAACAACGTCAACGCCAATGGATAGTCGATCTGAATATGGCATCGAACGTGGAGCAAACGTACCCACAGGAAGGCCCACCAGTACCGTTGCCATACCAACACCACCTCTCGAAAGCACCGACGAAAAACCCACGGGGCTTGCAAGTCCCTCACAGGTAGCTGCGAAGCCACTTGCTCCTCAGCCCCCGCCGAGGTGGGACTCAGAAGCAGATCCCTCTGCGAATAATAATTACAATTTACAAGCAAGGCTTAAGTTAAAGCTCAAAATGCCAGACGCTGAGGGACCTCAAAAGGAAGGGACTAATATCAAACTTCCATCTCCGCCCTCGCAGTTTTCGAGCCAGTCACCCTCTCAGGAATGCCCTCCGTCTTATGATCAAGCCGTGGCGCGCCTTGGTAGGTCCCCACACGCGTCAGTCAGTTCGGAGCCTTCGACGCCGAGCAGAGAACAGCGGAAATCGTTTACGGAAGAGAATGTGGAAAACTCCATCATTGCTCCTCCCAGTCCCTTCTCCGAGGAGGAAAACCCATTTCAAAGGGACGGCTTTGGGCGGACGTCAATGTCGGAGAAACGAGGACGAGCAACCCTAGATGCAAGGCAATCAGAATTCTTTATCAAACGAGAACAAGAAAGGACTGAAGGTCAGTTGTTGTAGATCATTCTTTAACTTCTAATCATTAGCACATAATTTCTCCTTGCAGTATCAATACATTATGCAGAAAACCGGTTAGGTCATAAACCGGTTAGGTCATAAACCGGTTAGGTCATAAACCGGTTAGGTCATAAACCGCTTATGTTATAAACTGGGTATAAGGGTTAAAATAAGATGGTAGCTGATGCCAGTTAATGATTTTCTGCATCAGTTGATCTCGTCTGATAACTGTAGCAAAGCTTGAACGAGTGCTCTTAAAAAAAAAACAAAAACAAAAAAAAACAAAAAAAAAACTCTGTTTTTTTTTTTGGTGGCGGCTTTCGTGTGGCATTTTTTCTCTCTCTACTGATTCGAGATCATTTCTGTCGCCATTTTCCTTCTAACTCTGTGTTTGTTTCTGGTTTTATTTATAGATTATACGTCTCAGTCAGAAGATGGTGAAATCGACGAGGAAAAACCTGAGCTGGCAGTTACACGCCAACCTCTGAGAAGGGCCGACTCAGACGATGAGCAACTGAGGCATCAACTAGAGGAAGGTAAGGAGCAATGCCGGGTTGCACTATGATATAAGAGTACAACAACTCCACTTTATAAAGTAAGCTCAATTTCCAAACCTAATTTTTTTTTAATTTTTATAACAAACAAAAGAGTTAAAATGTATAGAAACCATTTAAAAGTGATGGTAGTTGCCCTACTAGAGATTACTTGGTTCAAAAGGAGCTTTTTGAAGGAGCTTTTTAAAGCTTTGTAACAGTTAAAACTATTAGAAACTAAAATTTTTTAATCGTTTCTGGGATTTTCTGAGGTTAAAAAATCTTTAAAACCCACGTTTCGATCAGTTTTACTGGTCTTCCTCAGATTGCTTAAATGCTGTCAATATGGCGGACTGAATAGAAAAGTTCTAGAAGGAATTGAGTCACTACGACAGAAACATCGCGGAATGAGAGTCCTTGACAATTTTGACCACGTTGAAACATGGAAACCAGTCTTAAACTCCTTCTTTGATCATGAAAAAAGACTGTAAAAGGCAGTGAATTATCGCAAAAGTAGAAGTACTTGACAAACCTCAGACTACATTACCCGCGCAATCTGACATCGCTTAAACGTCGTGTAATTATCACGAAACGTCATGTGCGGTCACCAAGCTAAAAGACTTGACAATCCGCCATATTGACAACATTTAAACAACCTAAGGAAGACCAGTAAAACTGGTCGAAACGTCGGTTTTAAAGATATTTTAACCTCGGAAAATCCCAGAAACGATTAAAAAAAAATTAGTTTTTACAAAAATGAGAGGTGAAAGTTACAGGAATACGATTAAAACTATTAGTGCGTTTTGACTGTTTTTCTATCAACAAACCCTGTTTATGTTCCCCATCAGTAGCCAGCCACCTTCTTCCTTCTCGATTTTATATTGTCCCTTGCCTGTTTTTCTACGTTACCTAACTAAACGTTTTAGTCTCTTTCAAGTTGCGGGTGTTTTTACATGTCCAAATAAATCTCATGTGTAAGGAAGCCAATTAATTGCTTGTTTCTCACCTTTGGCAGAATCTAAAGAGGAAATACGACCCTCTCCATATGGTCGAATGACAAAAAGTCGCTCAACTGGACAACTAAAACATATAGGACTTTCAAAAGCCAAGGAGAAAAAGTAAGCGGTTGTATAATTAAAGAAAAGGATATCGCTGAAACAAATTAATAGCAGAATTAGTGTTGTGCCACATTGCGTGGAGCAGCTTGGGGAGAGCGAATATTTTATTTTTGGTGCATATCGTTGAAGAGGAAGCGTATTACTAAAAAGAGCTGCTTTTTCATTTTTCAGGGCCAAAAGTAACGACAACTTGAGTTTCACAAGCGCAGTGGAAAGTGCGAACCGATCTTATCCAGGTTAGCTTTGACATTGTTTGTTACGATATTAATTTAAATGTTCCAAAATGTGGATGTTCCTCTACACAATGAAGCTATGATACGGTTAAATTATGGACTATTTTCATAGTGGTTCTAATTGAACTGGTTTATTGTGTTCCAGGTGACTTTCAGAATGGTCACGCAAGGTTTAGTCCTTCGGACGAGCAAGAGGTACCCATAACGATGAGGAGTAACGCTGATTTCACGGCGGTGCAACAGAAACTTGCTACGAAAAAGCCCTTCTACAAAGGAATCAGTTCTGTGTTTAAGTGAGTGTTTATTCTTTTTTTTCTTTTTAGTTCATGTAAAATTCCTTGTATTAGCTCCAGAGTTATAACCTTCTATCGCGCGTACTCTTTTTGGCAAGACAATGAAAACAAACAAACGAAGGAACAAGAGAAAAAAAAGAAACGAAGATTAACAAGAAGAACGCTTGATCGCAGTTTTAAAATCCAGATTGTGAGGAAGCAATTTAAGCTTTGATGAAGTATTCGCCCTCGATACATTTTCAATTTTTGTAATTGTCTCTCTTAACTCTCCCAGGATCGGAAAAAACAAGCGAGGCGACTACAGTCTCTCGGACTGCGATGGTCCAGCGTTCAAACATACCTACAGTAAAGAAGCACTTATTGACTTTCCCTCCGAGCAGCGATACAGACAACTTGTCAATCATTACGGACAGGAGAGACCGTCGGAACGGGCTAACACGCTACCGACTCGAGGGCGAAAAAAACGCGAAGCGAAAGAAAAGGAGGCTGAAGAAAGGCGACCTCCTCCACCTCCGGTAATGAAAGTTGGAAGGGTGACTGTTACTGCGCCCACTAGAGTTTAACAAGTCTTCAAGGCTGTCAAGTGCTTCGAAACGGTGATGAAAACCGGTTATGAAAGTTGGAAGGGTGACTGTTACTGCGCCCACTAGAGTTTATTAAGTCTTCAAGGCTGTCAAGTGCTTCGAAAACGAAGTCATTTCTGTTTATAGGGCATCTACAAATAATGAAAATACTCTCGTATCCTAGCTGATTTTACAGTGATGATAGAGGAAATTTTCATAGAAAATAAATTAAAGAATTCTTTGATGACTATTTTATACCCAGGAGGTCTAAAACACCAAGAATTTATCGCATTCTATTGATAGATTATTTCTAAGAAAAAAACCTATTATTTTTGAAAAAGCTAAAGTACATATTCAAATATTTTGCCTGACGTGTTTGTAAGATTACCAAAGCATATCTGTACCTGTCTTGTGAATAGGTCACTCCATTATCAGTCCCTGTTTTTGATTCCGTTAATCCGAAATATTTAGCAAAGTTTGTAAATTGCGATTTATATAGCGAAAGTTGTTGGTCATCTGTGATCGAGATATTTACCAGCAATAAAGACCATTTTCTAACTAAGCGTTGTCATGTACTCAAAATTATTATAATTATTAATTTAGTTATTATTATATTTTATATGAATTGTTGATGCTGGTAAATTATTTCATACGCCAAAGATTTACATTTACATAGATTTGTCTTCATTCACTTGAAAGTTTTCATCGGCTTCCCTAGATGCATTCCCTTGTTCTGATTGGCTGTTTGCATTTCTGCATTTCAGTATTATTTGAAGTATTGTTCTGAATATTTTTTAGCAGGGCCCATGGGCATTTCTTGTTTTACCTCTGTACTGTTAGTCCTTTTTATTTTTGGCATCGTTTCCCGCTCTTTATCATTCAATTTGCTATATTTGCCCACGATTTTTTTTAATACAAAATTCAACTGAAACAGTAGTCAACAGAAAATAATACTCATCACTGTTATTGGAGATTTCGGTTTGTTACCAAAGAGAACTCTATTTAATAGGTTTATACATTCGACTTTTAAACATGAATGCGTAATTACAGCATTATGTTTCCAAAACAACAAGTGACTACACTCACACTTGCGAAAGAAGAGAAAAACAGGTTTGCAGTCCCTCGAGGACACCCTTCGCCCGGTAGGCTCTTTCTGGGCTCGCGTCTTGGCCGCTTGTGTTGCTACACGCTAATGGAGCTTACTTGCACATCACACACAAACCAAAAAAGCGTGTTAGGTCATCTCAATGGAATCTTTTCATTCACATCTTAGGCGAAATCAAAACAATGCCTCTTTTTCTCTTAGTAGCAACCTAACAGAATTTCTTTCCTAACTTTCACGTGAGATAAGTCAAATCGGAAAAGTATATTTTTCGAGGGGTTTCTTTTTTCGTATCTATCAATGTTTCCTTGCAGTTTTCTCGGCACGGGGAAGTTTTGTATTTCGATCTGGTTTTGCTTCCTGCGAATGTCTCCACTTCACCCGTCTATTTTGGAACCAGACCTTTATCTGATGCTCCGTGAGCCCAAGACACAGTGACAAGCGGTACCTCTCACGTTTATCCAAGTAGTGTTGAGTCTGGAAGCGTTCTTCTAATGTTTTTCGTTGATGGTCGGAGAAAACCGGACGGGACCAGGATGGGGAATGCATTTGTCTTGTCACACTGAGGGGAGTTGTGAAGGTAACATTAGGTCGGGTGGTAGCCTGAGGGTCTGAAAAAAAAAATAATGGAAATGAACATCATTTGTTGACGTTCCTTCAGAGATTCGTAATCCGGCGATTTCTTAATCTATTGTATTTCCTGATAGCTGTTATTCAAACCCTTTTATTTCCGTTTGACTGTGGCTTTCATTTTCCACCATCTCAGCACAGACTCGCTGTGCGTGCGTTTTAAATCACTTCGCTGGATTAGGAGATCGTACTTGAAGTGTTTTAGTGAAGACGATCTTAGCACTCGCTCAAAGCTCGCTTCGCGTTTACTTCTGTTGCTGGATAACCGCAAGAAGTACTGTATACAATCAAAATGTAGAAACAGCCATCGTCGAGTAGGAGTTATCAAAGCTAATGTATTGAATAGCATTTCAATCGGAAGATTTAGAGGATTTTAAAATCTTCTTAAGTGTGCACTTCCGGCGAATCAGTGATTTAAGACTTTGGCTTGACAAAACAGGAAAACCATGGCCTGCCTTGGGGCTAATCTGCTAAAATAGGGTGGGGCTTCGACCTGACACTTCTTACACTAATTTTCTTTATTCTATCTCTCTCTTTCTCTTTCTTTTCTTTCTTTTTCAGAAAAAGGAAAGAATTCTTGCAACAAACGTGCGACCTTTTGCGATCTCATTTCTATACAAAAACTGTTCCTGACTTGCCTGTACCTGCATAAGAATGATTATTGAAAAAATAACCGATTTGTTTTAATAATCAGTTTATGATCGTTTGAATGTATTATGAACTGTCACCCTTCAGCATTACTTACATAAACTATGTATATCCAGTTAATTAAAATTCAAAAGCAGATCAGTTCTTCAAGCTGAGATTATTTCTGTAGCCTCTTAAGCGAAAGGCGAAAAAGATCACGAGTTTCCATATCGGATGTCTCACGAAATTTAGGAATAATTTATGGTTCTTTCTAAATCATATAAAGTACTTTTTTTTAGTCTGTGGAAAGAAATCAGGGGGTTTTGTGAGGCATTGTTTGAGGTCGACATCTAAGTAGTTCGTTAACCGGAACTTGTTTAAGACGTTTAAGGCCCAGGTGAAAAGGCAAAGATGGCACTAACAAATTAAAGAGTCGGAGGTCTTTCCAGAGTCACAACAAGTTACTAAACGTTTCGACCTCTACAAGGAGATGGGCCTTACAAGCACTAAGGCAACCACTGGGTTTTGCTTTTGTTTTTCTCCGTTTTGTTTTCAGACCAAGGGAAAGTGTGAAATGGTTACAGGTTTTGACTGACCCTGCGCGTCGCTATAGCGGCAGTTTTTCTTTTTTTTGTCACGGCGGAATTTTGGAGGAATTCAGTGTAAAATCAACCAAGTTTGCTTTTCGTTCATGTATTTTTTAATTTAGTTTATGGACACGACTGTTTTCAGTCAATTTTAGACGTGTAACCACGCCGTAGTCCTTCATATATATTGATATGTTCACTACAGTGAAAGTCAAAATAGATAAGCTCAGAGGTGTTATCCTTCCTCGTTGACACTAGACTCTCTACACAAGAAAGAGAGCAGCTACATGTGAAAATTACCTGTCAGATCATGGGAGTTAAAGTTCGCAGCTGCCTTTGAAGTCAGGTCAAAGTGGGGTCGCGAACGGAGCAAAATCCGACTTCTCGTAAGACCGTCTTATGAGAGAACACAAGCAAAAAAAAAAAAATACAAACCACGATTGAAACTAATTTAAATCATATGGATATATCAACAAAGATGAAATGGTAAATTGGCCACCGTAACGATTGTAACGGTAGCCAATTTACCATTTCAACTTTGTTGATATATCCAAATTATTTCGTTACTCCCACCGACGCAGCCCCAAACAGTTTCTTTCGAAACTATCAGCCTTTATTCATTTGTAATTTAAATCATGTATCATTATTTATTGATAGATCAAAACAAATAAGATGCGAGAACAATGCATTAGAATGGGGGAAACTCGAGCTGAATACTTAATGCAAAAGCAGATTATTGTTTTTTTGTCCGACATAGGGCTACAAAATTGGAAATCAAGAATGTTCCATCGCTTAAATGCCATCAAAAGAATTTCTAACCCACACGGAATGAAGAAGCACGAAGAGAAGGCGTGCAAAACTGCGTATAGCTATAATAAAGAAATGTTACGACGAGGTTGGTGTCCTAATGTTAGAAAACTTCTGCTATTTCCTCCTTCTCACACCTTTGCAAGGAAAAGACTCCTGAGGAATGCCATTCAGGCCGTTACAATGTATGCAGCCATTTCCTAGAGTAACCTGAGACAGGATGTATCACAAAGGCGAAGCTACCGCAAAAAGAGTACCTCTTGTACACAAGTTGGAATCACTCCATTACTCTCAAAATTAACCTAATTTCCGGCTATAAATAAATAAAGGAAATACTGGCCGGTAGTGTAATATAAAAGTAACGGCTTGGTTGGTTTCAAACTGATCACTATCTTAAGCGCGGCGGAAGCGAAAGCGACTCACTGTCCGAAGGAAAGAATTTTGCAGATCAAAAAAGGACACACAAGAAGAGTATCACGCTGATTTGCGCAAAACTCCAACGATAAAAAAAACCTCACTGTCCGGCCTTTTTAAGATTGAAAAATCATTTCGTGACTCCCTTTATTTCGTTGTAGGCTAGGCCGTTAAATTCTAAGCCTTCCGCCGTTTAATGCGCCAAAAGCCAAGAATTTTTTTGTTAACCGCTTTTCACCGTGAGTAGTTGATTGGTTAGGCTTGACAATTTCCAGTTCATGTTTAGTTTGCATCGTGGGTGTTAAAGTCGACGACTCTGGTTTGTAAATTATTATGAATGGTTTTATGGCAAATTAACATCAAATACGTTAAGCCGTAAGCCACAATCGGCTTTGAATACCCACGATCGATTTGCAGTCTCCATTTCGCTCTTGAATTCGATATACTTTCCTGGTTCGAAGTTTAAACCATACACTCGATGAAAACAACAACCATTTAGCTTTATTTGGAACTCGATTTTTACCTGTCAGCAATCGCTTCAACAATTGTCAAGTCAGAAGACCAAACTGTAAGAATTTCAAAATGACGCAACGCTGAATATCTGCCAATAAAGAAGTTAATTCTCCTTAAGTGCAGGCTTGCACCTTAGAAATTGATAGTGGTAAAGAAAAAAAGGTCACGCTTTGTTCTTTCTCAAGTGAAACCATGGAGCTTTACCTTACCTGATTTGGAAGAACCATCTAGGATCGTCTCAATCCCAAACTTCAGTTTTTCTTGTTGTCTTTGAGGTTGAGCTTTCCACGAGGTATTTAATTCGGTTGTTTCTCGCGCTTCATCTGTTTGCATGGTTGTTGCAATTGGCGCATCTATGAAACTGCTAGCGCTCAAGTGTGGCAGAGTTGTTGTAAGTTTTAACTGAGTTACCAGGCTGTCACTGATAGCACTGATTTGTGGAGGAAGTCTTCCGCAGAAATCACATTGACAATAAATCATCGATGAGTTCATAATTTTATGTCGCGGGGATTGTTCTTTTTGAGCTACTTGGAAAACCACGAGTCTCTTATAACCGTCCGTGGGACCTCCCAGGTTATCACAGAGTAACAGATCAGCACAGTCGATAAAAGTTTCCCGTCCGACACCTATTTCTGCCAATCACCTTATCTTGGACTCTGTGGTGGCTTTTACGTATCTTTATTGTTTTCTGGGGGAGAAGGAGGAGGAGAAGGGAAGAGGAGAGGGGAGGAGTGGGCGAGGAGAAAAGATAGATACTATCAGAGGTAAGAGCTGAGAACGGATGAAAAATTGATTAAACTGTATACATGCAACATACATACAGCAAACTTATCTTAAAACCCTTTTTTAACCTATGTTAAGATCTGGTGTTTTAAATCTTGGCTATTTATATTTCAAAGATATAAAAAACTTACTGTTGGTACCCATTTCAGACGAGGACAGTTCAACAACCTTGAACCTATGCAGTGTAGGGGTGTATTGCAATGTACATTGGTACCACTCTGAGGACGTTCCCTGTCTCCCCCCCACCTACCCCCTACCTCCGAGCTCTGCTTCCTGGGTGTCGAGATGTCTACTGTTTTTTCCCCAGGTTCTGTGCAAAGGGAAAGATGATGCTTGGGTGTCATCAGTGACCCTGCGGTTTAACACTAAATTTAGATCATTCAATTCTAGTCGACTAAAACAACACTTGGAACGTTTGCAAATTAATCGAGCGCTTTAGTCGAAAACAAATGTCAGTATTCAAAGTGGTGGTCTTTTTTTTTTTTTTACTTTTTTCCCGGATATCGTACACGGTAAAAAAAAATTGTGGCCTTTTTGGACGACAACATTTTACTGCATGGTTCTAATTTGAGATATACGAGACGATAAGAGACAGCCTGGGTTTGATGGATATCTGCCTTCTTTCCGTTTATTTCAATAAAAGTATGCCATATTTTTCCGGTCGTAATGGTTATTTTGAGTTAAAAAACGATCTAAAAACACAAGTTTATTTACTCAGATCATCACGTTTGATGAAATAATTATAGTGTAACCGATCTCAAAATTGAAACCAAATGCTTATTGCAATTAAAATGTAGGTCAATTTATGATGTCTCTGTTATCAAACTCAAACGACCTCAAAGCGTCAGACAGGATAAATTTCATTCTAATTTTCCTACTTAAAGTTACAATTTTTAACTGATAATTACCCTGATTTTATTGTTAACAGGCATAGTTACAATCTCGTTCCCAAGGCCGTCGAAGCGAGGTTGGCACAATACGAAGTAAGTCTGTTTTCACTCTCTCCGATGTTGCCTCAGAGCATGCAACACAAGATCTAAAATCCGTCAGAAAAAAAATGTATTTTGTGGAAAATGATTTAAGTCATTGACATATCTTTTACACAAGACTTACGTTTGTTTTAGGCCACGGAATGTTCGTTGTTTACATTAATCCGGACGCTCTACTATCTAACGGAGCTCTACGTCAAAATATTATCCAGAGACTTAGCGCGTTACATTGAACCACAGCGGGGGCCGAGGGGCAAAGGTTTAATTTTAAGGGGGTCTGTCTACTATACCAGCTAACTACATCGATGAGTATGCCATTTAGCAAAGAAAGAAAAAAAAAAACTTTCAATGGATTCAGGTTCGTACACCAGAACAGAGATCTAATCAGATAATAAGAGAGGATTTCAAGCCAAAATTGTTTTCAAGTCTCTATTTCCGCTCATTTCCGTGTGAATTAGTTAGAAGAATCTCACACCGATTGCAAGATAAATGATCTTTTAGTCGATTTGGTTGTATATTCTCATTACCTGTTAGCTGAATAATTCATTGTCCTCTTTAGGAGAAGTTGCATAGCAACCACTTGTAGGGAGGGGCCATATGGTGACTGAAATCTCACCAGCCGAAGTGGAAAAGCAAAGCAGGACACATTCAAAGAACACAGCAGGGCAGTTAAACTTCTCCTATCGACAAAGAGTGAAGAGTGACGGAGGAATTTGCGAGCACGAAAGATCAATCGGGTGTTACTGTTTTAATAGACATTATACTTACATGAAATAAATGAGAGAACAATGAAGAACTGAATCATGATACTGTGTTTTACACGATACTCTGACGTAATGACATGATATTGACTCCTTTCTTCTCAGTTTAGTTTCTAATTTTACAAATGTCAGTGTCCTTGAAGATTTTTTTCTTTATTCAATGCCATTTACGCCAGGATTTCCTATCAAATGTCTAGACAAAGTTTTAGACTTTGTCCAACTTGAGTTATCCACATTACTGACAACTCGTTGCTGTTGAATCGCAATTAAGCTATTTTAATCCTTCTAATTTCAAAAACTGCGTTCGGTCATCGCTTAGAATCACAATTACTTTTCTCATGAAGTAATTTTTCGTCATCAGCGTTATCATTACTCTGTGACGCCGACCTCACACGAACATTCTTCGGCGGTCTTCTCTGTCTCGTCGCTTTCAGTCGTCGTTTCTTCCTCTTGGTTGCTGTCTTCCACCTTTTTCAACGCTCTTTCTTTCAGTTTTTCTTCTTTTCTCGCAGCTTCGTGTCTCCATTTCGTTCTCCTGTTCTGGAACCATACCTTTACCTGCGTCTCAGACAAACCCAACATGGCGCCGATCTGTAACCGCTCCCTTTTTGTTACGTACTTGGTCACCTGGAAACGCTTCTCTAGGCCTCTTCGTTGGAGCTGCGTGAAGACTGGGCGACACCAAGGCCGGCTGGAAGTGCGCATGGGTGAAGTGAAGGGTTGATGGTGAATGTAGGTGAGCTCATGGTTGCTTAGGAATGGTCTGTGAACGACATGAGGGTCTGAAACACAAGTGTTTATGTTTATTAGTGATAGCTCTCACCCTGGTCTGCTTACTTACTCTGATTTGACCGTACTTTTCTTCAAAGGAATATTAAGAAAGAAAGTTCATCTTCCAAAGAAACAATACCTGTTTTTTTTCCAAATTGAAAATCGCTTTCCGTCTGCGAAAAGATAAACGCTGCGCCAAATGAAACTTTTTAATATTACAAAATAAAAGGTGTTTGATTATGTTCTGGTGTGAATTTCAAATTCGGTGACCAAAGTGTTCCATAGCTGCTCTAAAAGAATTTCATAAACCTATTTCAGTCTCAAAGAGAAAGAAAATACCTCGCTTGAAAAACGAGCAGAGTAGAAGATATGGCTCTTTCTTAGAAACACCATGATCTAAATTACGCTAAAAAGATCATCCTAATTTACTAGAGAGCTCATAATTTGATTCAACTCTTAATTCTGAAGACTCGAAAAATAAGAAGTGTATAGCAGACAGAAAGGAAAAATTATCACAAGATTTTGGGACTGAAATGCTTAACCTTCCCATTAATTCCCTTAAAAATGAAGCCATACATCTTTGCTGCTGAGGTAGTTACTTTAGGTTCAGCTTCATCCAATAAGTAAATTGGAAAAAGAAAGGGTCTAACCAAGCAGTAAATCGAATAAGCCACAAAACACGATTGCCAAAATTTCTCAGAATAAAGTTCCGTAAGATTCAGTGGCCAAGAACGGTGATCAGCGTAGGATTTCGGCTCGTAGGAGAGGACAGAATCATATATGGACGAGATAGGAGTATAGGAATAGGCTAAGATAGGAGTATAGGAATGGGCTAAGATAGGAGTATAGGAATGGGCTAAGATAGGAGTATAGGAATGGGCTAAGATAGGAGTATAGGAATGGGCTAAGATAGGAGTATAGGAATGGGCTAAGATAGGAGTATAGGAATGGGCTAAGATAGGAGTATAGGAATGGGCTAAGATAGGAGTATAGGAATGGGCTAAGATAGGAGTATAGGAATGGGCTAAGATAGGAGTATAGGAATGGGCTAAGATAGGAGTATAGGAATGGGCTAAGATAGGAGTATAGGAATGGGCTAAGATAGGAGTATAGGAATGGGCTAAGATAGGAGTATAGGAATGGGCTAAGATAGGAGTATAGGAATGGGCTAAGATAGGAGTATAGGAATGGGCTAAGATAGGAGTATAGGAATGGGCTAAGATAGGAGTATAGGAATGGGCTAAGATAGGAGTATAGGAATGGGCTAAGATGGGAGTATAGGAATGGGCTAAGATGGGAGTATAGGAATGGGCTAAGATGGGAGTATAGGAATGGGCTAAGATGGGAGTATAGGAATGGGCTAAGATGGGAGTATAGGAATNCTTCCTGTGTATCGCTTAGTTGTTTTATAAATGGGATTTTCTGTGGTAGTTTTTTCACGAACAAAGTGTGAGAAACATCTGTGTGCAATCCGTCGGTACTGTAAAAAAAAAAAAAAAAAATTGAACGAAGCCGTCAATGACATACGAGATTTTAAATTCTCGATATTTCCGAATACCATTAAATGTATTAAACAGATCTCACTTAAAGATGGATTAGCACACGTGTCATTTCGCGATTCATTTCACAGTTTCAACACGCAATTTTGCGCTTTTTATGAAAACCTCGTCATACTCAGGGCGCGTCCCAAATTCCTAAGTCATGAAGGCATATTCATTCCTTTAGCCCGAACCGAGGGGCGCCATATATGCCGAGTTTCATGCAAGGCTCACACAAGTGTTTCCCATCCTCACTCTTCTATCTCTTCCATAAATCTTTTCGTGCTCGAAGCCAGATTCCTTTACTGACATCAGTTGAATTTATTTCTCATATCTGATAAAAACTCCCACACGATATCATTATCTGAACAAACTCCTGGACCATTCACTCATCGGAATACAAGGAGGTATTTCTAATTAAAATCAAATCATGTCATGAAGGTAAAGCTTGGTGAGATCTTTCAGTGTCAGTCTGAAAAGGAAACGGCGAGTTTGTAAACACATAGACACAGTTATGTTGACCGTACTATCGTAGGATCTGCTACTTTGGAAATATTTATTAACCCGACCGATAATGAACAAGCACACGCCCTAATTAATCATATCGGAAATATACTTCAAAGATTCGGGAGTTAATTCTAAAGGGCTGCCTATCTATAAGGGACAATAGCTGTTTTTTTGTTTTGCAACTGAGCTGAGACTAAACTGCTGCAACGATAAGGAGAAATTTTGGAGAGATGAAATTTGTGTCAGTGGCTTGCCTTTGTAAGCAGTTGTTTTAAAGCGTCTTCGTCGACACAAATTCGACGGACAGGCGATATGCAAAGTTAAAATGTAATTGATTAAACAGAATATTCCTATGAACGAACCTATAGGGGTCGTTTCTTATGGAAAATTCCATTCCTGAGATAAAACAAACAAGCTACACATGTTCCGTGCCAGCAGACGTAAGAAAAAGAGGTTCACTAACGACAGGCTATTAAAGAACTGAGAAAAGCCTCATACATTTGTAAAATAAGCTTTAAAACAATCTGATGACCATTAGTAAAGATCGAAATCTTCACAGCAATTACCATATTTAGCTTGGGTAAACAAAAAGACCGCCACAGGATGGCAAAAAAAAAAAAGCAAAGAAAATCAAATGATAAATAAGATAAGAGAGAATCAAGAGTTTTAAACGAAATAGAAGTTGAAAGATGATGCAATTCAGGGAATGACATAGGCGAACTCGGAGAGAAAGAACTCAAATTGCTCTCGATAGGAGTAGAACCTACGACCTTCGATTAGCACTTCGTAAGATCGACCACTGAGTTATAGACTCATAGCAGGATAGGAAGACTGAAGTTTGAACTAAGCTGTCCTGTGACTAGTCTGTTGTGAAGTTTTATAATTTTTCTCACAATGTGACAATTTGTAGATAGCAATATGTTTCGAATACAAGCTGCGAGTCTTCTTTTTCTGTTCTTGGTTATGAAAAAGAGTTTTACGAGGTCGATACGACGCGATCGACATGGGAAGTGATAACATCAACATACTGAAACAAGCGATATGATACTTTATTTACAGAGTATCCACCGCGATGAATGACCTCAAATCTTTTTTGGTGGCTTTTGCTAACGAGAAGAAAATATGGTACCGAGATGTTGTCTCTACAAAGCTATTTCAAGGTTCTTCTAAAATGTATTGTTCCGGCGATTTGCCCATGTCGTTGAAATGACGTTACCCTTTCACACACTGAAAAGTCTGAGTGGCGGCAAGCTTCTGAGAAGATATGAAATATTTTATCAAAATGATGGCTCTGTTTCTCGAAAATTCTATGGCAGCAGCATGGAGGATCAACGTCCTTGTTTTGAAAATTTTTTCGAAGCTGGGACATTTAACACTGTTTCTTAGAGTTCTGTTTAGTAAATGAGCTCAGAAATGAAACGCGAAACTTCTTTCGAGCAAACACTAGACCACATAACAACCAAGAAACCGGTATACTTTTCGCCCATGGTGTATCAATTTCACTTTAGTCCTAAGCGAAATCAAACCATTTCCGCCACTCGGTATCAGTTAATTGATAACAACAACATTGGCCAAAAATGCAATTCAGTTTAAGGACAAGTAGAGAACCAAAACATCAAATGTATCCGTGTCGTGCAGGATCAGAAACCTCAAATTGTGTCTTTTGGATAGTGTTTATGATTAATTATCATAATGTACTTAAAACTGTAATACTATTAACACATTTCAGTTGAGGCTCAAACCACTAAGCATGCGATAAATGCTTTTTTTTTTAATTCGTGGTATTATGCATTGTCTTAACACGAAAAGAAGCACGAAAATTCCTTCAAATTCCCTTTTTTTTTGAACACACTAAACAATTTTTTCCTGTGCCTACTCTGAGGGAATTTTTCAAAAAGCGTGATAGTAGATACAAGTACATTGTACATGTATGTATAAAAATATAAAATTTCCTTATTTTTTTCGGACATTTCAATGGGAAAATTGAACTCTGAACTACAATGGCTGAGAGAGTGCCAAACGCACTTACTCTTTGCTCCTTAGTAGTGGACTGTGCTCTTTAGAAGTATAGCTGCCCTTTTGATGTGACGCAGAATTTAGCCAGCTCACTGCTTCATACAGTTTTCGATTGCATAACAGTCTTTACACATAACCTATTAAAAAAAATCTTCATTACGATGACAATTGACTCCATTTTAAATCTTGAGGCAACTTTGGCGATTGCTATAGCTTGTAAAACAGAGGTTTCCGTACGTGTATTAGCTTTTCTTGGCACGAAATTACAGCTCTTTCTTAATTTACGTCGCTATGTATGGAAATATAATTCAAGATTAGAAACTCAAATCTCCGCAGTCAAAGTAAGCTTTCATCCATTAGGGAAAAAGTCCACTCTATTGAATTTTCACGAACAGGTTGTGTTTGAAAAATAGACTCATAATGACATAAGTTTTTCAACTGCGATTAAAGGAAACTCAATTATTCAAATATTCATTAATTAGTTTACTTTAAAGACGAAAAGCCTGGTAATTGTTTTTTAACTCACTTTTTCAACAGAAAATTAGAAGTGTCTCAGTCCAAAAGTCAAATTAGGTCTGTAAGCATCCTTCACAAAAAAGGGAATCGTGAAAAGTAACAGTTAACCAATGACGATAAATATACGTCGTTGAGCTTCAGACAAAAACGCGTCAGTTCTGCCACTAAAACAAACCGCTGCCTGGCAAGCAATTCACCAAGAGCTTTAATGCGGTCACTCTAATTTTTTTGGTTTCTAAAAGCCTTATAAATTCAGAGGCGACATTCGCTCGGTGCTGTTGTTAACGAGACCGCTTATCTGGCACTAAAGGTGATAAGATATCACGAATTTACTTCGGTCGTCCCCTGTACAGTTTCAAAGCTTGCGGGCCAAGCTAAGCACAGAACTGGTTACAGAACTTAAAAAAATTATCTCGTTTTAAGCATAGAAGATTAACATTTCGTCGCCATTAAGGCGAGGAATTGAAGGAGTAGAGCAAGTTCACAGCATAACTACTCGCAAGATTGCGCTGAAAAATAAACAGACTTGCGAGGGTATGGTCATTTAAGTGAAAGGTACAATGAAAGAGGTGAACGCCTTACCAAGGTTTCCAGCCTTTTAAGCTTAGATTGCATGGAATTAAAATTTCTAAGAGCATTTCCCCGTTATACCTGCAGTGATTTGCGCCGAGCTTCTGCGCGGATGTCTTTCGTGACGCACTTCAGCAAATGCAAAATTTGGCTAGCATCAATTCAAACACTTAAAGAGCGCTCACATTCTACAGGGTAAACGTTAAAAAAAACTATCTTATCTCATCAGAGCAATACGTTTCTCCGGTAAATGACAATAGCATATAAGAAGTGAAAAATCTCTATCAAGAAAACCGCATTTAGGTAACGTTAGTATGTGAAGCGATCAGTGACCGACGAATGTAGTCGTTCGTAATCCGTGTATGTGAAAGGAACTGATACTAGCTCTTGCAAGAGTCAGTTTATACTTGAAGTTTTTAACTCAGCAATGATCTCTTAAAAACTGAAAAATTTTTTTGTATGTTTTATGAGTTTCGCTCAGATCAAATCTAAAGTATGGCTAACACTCGACAGAGTGAATTTATTGAAAATTAATTTGAGTCAGCGGCCGGAGACATGATGTCTTTTACAACCATTCTATATTCTTTATAAGCTTTGTGCCTTGATGTCTTAGAAAGCTTACCTGACTGCAACTTTCCGTAGAGAATATTCTCAATCCCAAACTTGAGGTTTCTACTCGACGACGAGTTCGTTTCGCTGTTTTCAGTTTGTTCGCTTGATCCGCCGTGTGTGGCCGTTCTGTCTAATGACGTTCCGTAAACTGAGGACGGCGTTTGGATGGGACAGTTCCACACGGAATACACATTGGGGCTATGAAGCACTGGTAAAGAGGCGCAGTTACAGTAGATTAAGTGAGGTGAGTTGAACATGCTGCATCCAAGGAGCCTTCGTATGATTCAACACCGACGCACAGTGGTGTCAATGCTATTTAGGGGCTGATCAACCTCTACTTACAGACCTCCCATATTATAGATAATGCCTGGGCAAGATTGGCAGTAGATTGGCTTTATCTATAGCATCAACGTCTGCTTGAGGATATTAAAGTCTTTATTATTATTTCACGGACATTCCAAATGCGGTTTTGATAAACGGATTTAACGACCGTGTTGAATGCTACACGCGCTACGGAAATGTCTACAAATGCACTACTTTTGCCACATAGCCTCCTTAAATTGTGCTGTAAGTAATTTTTATACGCAGACGCGGAAAATAATGTGCTTTTCACGCACTCAAAGGCGCATTTTTGCGTTACCTGTCATGTGTTCAAATTGAACTCGCCAGATGGGCCCGCCCTTCTTAATCAATTTAAGGGCCTCATTTTTCTCCTTGTCATTATCATATCACGAGCACTCTATATCATGTTTTCAAGGGGTCAAATTTTATGAGTATCATATTTGGTGTTGAAGAATCACTCTGGGCTGCAATAAATCCGAGCACATTTCAGTGAACTCCTGTAATCTAATTTTTCTTGAAATCATGTTATGATAACAATCGATTGGAATACATTGCTCGTAATAAGCACGTCTATCTGCCCTCGCGCTGAATTGCCAAACAGTGTTTTTGGTATTCGTCGTTCCTCGGTACTTCGGACTGCTGTGTAAAATGTGGTCTGTTGAGATTCTGTTTTGATTGCGTTATTGATAAATTTGGCGCCGTTATGTCAGCTGAGTCTCTGCTATGACAAATACCATGTATGTACCTAAGGAGAGGTAAAATTTGAGATTTGGGAGGACAGAGAAAATTACAAAGAGGTCGTATATTTGATAGAAAGCATGCATCATTTCCAGCAACGTGCCCCTTCTCATGAAATGTAGCAAAAAAAGAGAAGGGAAAAAATGGCCCCTCAAAATTATCCTCTAAACTAATTTGTCATTAGCTCAGTCTAAAAATTTATTTTTTGACGTTTGGCATGTGTCTAATAACACAGCAGTGGTCTGTCCACGCGAAAGTGGTTTGGTTTATATCATTGACAGTATTGTTTTCTTTACAATGAAAACGCGATGGTCTCGCCAGTAACTCCGATGACCCCACTTGATTAACGGAAGCCGATGAAATTATGATTTTCTTGACCAGTCGATGAGGTTATTTGTGAAATTTGGACTCTTCCCTGACACTCTCGCTGATATCCTGAGAGTACAGGAAAATATCTCACTTTAGAAGTAGCAAAGAATCAAATCGAAACCAAACTTATCTAGGTGAAAGTATCGCCCATCGATCTTCAAATGGCTGGTCACACACGAAGTGTTTTAAACGTAGGAAATACATTACTTAAATATTAATCGAGCTATGATAGCTTTTTAAATGGCGCCTCACGATTGGCCTTAACAGGTTTGCCAAAGCTGCGCTTGCCATCTTCAAGTGATTGTGACGCGGACAGCCATTATCTGCTGCTGAGTGCCTATCATTCAAAGCTTTTAATAATCAGGGGTAAAAATTGCCTTCATTGACTGAATCAAGCGATGTTTGACCCGACCAGTGAAAAGATTAACGACAGAGAGAAGGAAAGAAAAATATGTCATACATGATAAAAAACATGCGAATCTACCGTACCAAGGAAATTCTCACGCTCCATATTTAGCATGATTACAAAAAATCTTTAAATTGTTTTATCTTCATCTTGGTTACGTCAAGTCCTTCTTTCTAAACCGAGAGAGGCATGGGGAGAGTTAAAAGATGTGGTGCAGCCAACATCTCGAGGGTATTTACTCCGAAGCTCAACAAATTGTAGATTTACGAAAATAATTTCAGTGTAAATGGATTCTTTTAACTTAAGTGCTAACAAAACAGAACCTGGTACATGAATTTTTCATCTAAAAATGGGAAAATATTTCGAAAGCCACAGCTAACGTGATGAAATGTAGTTGAGAAGTATGTCAGACACAAGCATTTTCCCAGACTCTTTAAAAGACTTTCTTGTTGCTGTCTAGGCTTAGTTTAATGCTCTTTTCGCTGATGCTGAAGAGTTATTAAAGTGTTAATGATTGCTCCTGTGCTCGTGGGAAGCGAGTTTTATTGGTGAAACATCAGCTGGCACGTAGCATTGGCTTAACCTGATTTAGGGAAGGATTTTCTTAGACATGACAAAGAGAAAATATCAGTCCCCGGCTAGAATAGGCAAAAACTTATCTTTCGCGGAAGTTTAATTCAAATACAGTAAAGGAAATTATCCAAACTGAAACAGGAAAATTCCTCCCCGCTTTGCGGACGTGGACCTTTCGGGTCGTGGAAAAGCTTGCCAAACCCTAAGCAGCTCAAGAAACGGCTCAGAAAGAACTAAGTATGCACGTGCATTCCATTCCATTCGCAAAACTCTTATCCTGCTTCAATGCAGCGTTAAAGACGAAACATTAAGCATAGAAACTATGAGGAGTTTTCACCTTAAAGTCTAAGAGAAGCTATTGTTGGCCACGAACCTACATTCTCCCTCCTCTTGCAAGCAAAAACCGCGTAAATGTGTTATCGATGTAGAGAGAGAAAAAAAGTGATATTTTCTTTCATTGGTGACAACTTATTTTTCTTTCAGTTATACGAAAAAGAAAACGCAAATCAATTTTTATTTTGCACGCACAGCGGACCTATACACTTTTTTTTTTTCATCTTTGATTCCCGCAAAGAGAAGTTTTCTCCTCAGTTGATAAAATGTGGAAGAGAAACATTTCGGTTTCTTTAAACGACAAGGCATAAATTCCCAGGCCTCCTTATATTGTGGTCAGATCTTTTGTGGTGGGCCGGAATGCACTTAACGTGGCGAAAGACGCAATCGCGCGTAGTCACCGCCTCCTCTTCTTCATTCCTGGCATTTTTCGAAATAAAGACTGTTTGGATTTAAGAAAAAGAAACAGTGCTCTTAAAAGAAAAAATTGCCGTGATGAGATTCATGCGCGCCAGGCAAGTACCATTGTTATTGTAATATTTTGCTTTTCAGAGCTTAAAAGGTTGACCTACAATTATCCAATGTATTAGTGTAAGCTTTTAATTGTTCGTCCTTCAGATTAACTACAATTCACGCCAAGCCCTTCACGTTTGGGAAGTTTTTCCGTCTTGTATAAACAGGGGAAAAGATTACTTTTTTGCTACAGAGACTTCTTTACAATCCTCTTATACAGATAAATAAATAATTTGGAACAACAAGACCCTGACTTCATCTCCTTGGTTTAAAAGAATATCGGGGGATTAAATCATCTGTCATTTACAGGATTAGTCTCCTAGCTACTCGTTTCTAGTCGAAAAAGAAAATACCTATGGCGATATAGCTAATAAAAACTGCTATGCGGAAATATGAAAAACGTTATGACAACTTAAAATCATCGACAATTACTTTATGAACAATTTGGTTTTCACAGTTCAGAAGGATTTCTTGTAGAATTAATTCAACTTTTGAAGATGATGTTAAATCGTTAGAGAATAAGCGAAATTCCTTTTCGTTATAACGTAACTGTAGAGATTGCATCTTCTTTTTAACCTCGACACTGCTACGAAAACTCTAAACTTTCATAACTTGAATTCTCTCTCACTGAATGGCGCATGGAGAAAGAAAGTTTTCGTCTCCCTCTAGAAACTTGCCGAAGATTATTCACAGCTTTAGGACGGAGCAAATCTTATGCGACGCGACAATAACAGTCGAGGGCGGAAAATTTCACACCCATTGCAGCATCTTTGCTGCTAGCTGCTCGTACTTTCACAAGCTTTTCGTACAACAAAGCCATAAGCAAAAAAATCTAAGTTGTTTGTCGCGACCCCTGAAATCTTACTAGGCGTTGTTGAATTACTGTTGTCAGTTATATTTACACTCGCATTTGATGAGGTTACTTCATCAAACGTCCATGGCCTAATAGGGGCAGCTGTTATTTCAAATCCCGTTTAACTCTGAGATTTAGAATGCGAGTTCCTGCGAGACAAGCTGGGCTTAAAAAAGCTGTGTCAGAACTTTTCAGTTAGCTGATAAGAACTACGGCACAACTTTGCATTGAGATAAATTGAAGCTTTGAAGATTTTATTGACAAATATTTTAACTATGTGTCGAGGGCTGAGGCTTTCTTGCCTCTCAGATCTGTGAATATAAAAACGTCTGTTTCGCACGATGATTTTGTTGTCTTAAGATAGATAGATAAATATACGAAGCAACTATTTACTGGGTAAAATACGACACAAGATCTCGATGCATTTACTTTTCTAAAGTTCTCAGACGTTACACCCCGTAAGTTTACATCCCGTGTCTAAACATTTACACAAATTAAATATGTCAGGCGTAGGACTTGTCTAAGACAACAGATCATATGTTGACGTTC